ACTTGAAACATAAAAATCCATTCTTAAAAACCAAAAAGGGACAATATCCATGGGAAACTAGATGTATGATGTAGAAGCACCAAGATGAGAACTTTATACCTTCAATAGGCTGGAAATGATGTAAAACCTCTGGATCTACAAGCTCTCTTCAATCTCTTGTTTCTTCTCTAAACACCTTCTTCTTCAAATCACCCCAAATAACACAAAAATGCTCAAGGTAGACTCAAAATGCTTCCAATAGGCTTAGGGTTTTGTTCTTAGGGTTAGATAGGATGGAGGCTGAAGGAAATGAGGGTTGGAGGTGAGTTAAGGTGTTTAAATAAGGTTCAAGACCCGAAAATTAGGGTTTAGTCTGCCCAGACGAACGCATCGCGTTCCCTTGGGGAACGCAGGGCGTTCCCATGTGCATCCGCGTCCATAACACCCAAGTACGCCATGCGTACATATCTCGTACGCCCCGCGTATCCGGTTTGGCCTAAACCCTTCTAACTTCAAATGACCATAAATTCTTTGTTGTAACTCCGATTTAGACGTTCTTTATATCCACGAAAAGCTAACGAGAAGCTCTACGCATCTATCAACTTTATTTAACCAGAAAGCAACCCGAACTTAAATCCAAAATCCATAAATGGCCCAAACCAACGCCTTTGCTAATACCTTTGGGCTCCAAAACACAAACCAAATAAATGGTATCATTCCAAATACATCATCGACCTCCAAATGCCCAAACTCAACTCTTCTATGGTTCTAACTCAAATAATACCCACTCCTTGATCACCACCCTGAAAAGGAAACGATTCGAAATGGGACGTTACAATTTTCCCCCACTTAAACTAGAATTCGTCCTTAAAGTCCGTTATTGCCAACTATCCTGCAATCTGCTCATTGCCTTCATTTTTTATACTCGCTTCACTTGCTAAACCCAATCCTAGTGGGACTGCTTCCAATGGCCTTCTGAGATTATTTAACCCTGCTGTGAGAGACGTATCACTCCTTGGTCAATTAGTTGTCTCGCATCAAACTCCTTTTATCACCATTATCCCTGTCTTAAGATTCTGTTGTCACTTATCCGCCCTCCGGATGAACCGAGACCACCCTGGTCCTAATTGATCTGTTGATAACTGGGTTATCGGACTCCCACCGGTTACTACACCCAGGGGCAACCTCTCAGTCGCTCCCAACGACTTCTGAAGAAACTTCGGCTATCTACAACTACTCTATCTACCCTGCCACTCTGGCCCTACAAGTCCTGGGGTCCTCGATCCCCTAACTTAACCCTAAGGTCCCTAACAGGTCCCACCTATGCTACTATAATCTCATGGGCCCTCCCCACGGGTCTCACCCAAAACCATATTACTGAGCAACCCTGCTCTCATGTCTCACCTATATTGCTACTCACATACGGGCCTCGTCTACGGGTGTCACCCAACTGTATCCTGAAGCGGCCTCTCCTAAGGTCTCACCTCTCTAGGGCTACACAAGCTAACTCCATACTATTCTCAACAAACTACCCTTTCCTGATCTCTACCTTGATCACTAGGAGATGCGGGCCTCCGCGCACACTCTGCTAACTATACTGCTAATGAATGCTACGGTTTACCCGCAGTCTTACATCACTTCCCTCACTAACTCGTTGTTGGGGAATGTTGCGGCTATCTCGCAGTCCTACCATGTTCCCCATGTTGTCTCTATCACTGACTACTAATCTGAAAGCATCCATGCCGATGAGCGGTCTGGATAGGCTGTAGGCCCTACGAGGCGGTCCAGATGTGCCGAAGGCTCAGAGAGCGGTCCAGATAGACTGAATGCCTGCAAGGTGGTCCAGTCAAGTTGAAGGCTCATTATGCATGTTGTTTGCTTATTTGTTATTGATATGTTTTATGGCGTTGGTATTTTGGGGGTAACTCACTAAACCTTCGAGCTTACATTTATCAATAATTGTTTAAGGTATTTCTGATGATCGCGGGAAGGTGAAGGCATGATCGTACAACTCCTCATATTTCATGATTTTTATGATTTGATTCTGGGATACTCTGACATTATACTATTTTGAAAACAGGTTTTGTAATAATTATTGGTTTTGAAATGTTTGAGAAAGATGTTACAGTGTATATACGTGTTTGTACATGTCACATGTTAACACAAATTTGTATTGTATCTTAGACGTGTCTAAACAGATAAATTCGTGTTTGACGCGTGTAAGACACGAAACACGAATTTAAAATATGTGGCAGACATGAATAAACACGAATTTGTAAAACATATACACGGAAAACTCGTATTGTGTCTGTATCGTATATCAAATTACGAGATCTAAATTTACATTTGTTTTAAAAACGCTAAAAATAATTTTTTTATAAAAAAATATATAATAAATATAACATATAAGTTGTGAGATTATTATGAAAATTGAAGATGCAAAATGTAAATTTGTATATTCATAAGTTGGTTTTTATGTGGGGCCACAAAAAAATAAAAAATGGTATACGTCAACAAATTTCCATAGATTAGTTTTAATAACAACCATTAAACCCTTTGAGATCTTCAATATATCATCTCCCCTTGGATATTTGTACCCTTTGTCATCGAAAACATTAAAGGATATGATATTTTTCTTCATCTTAGGAATAAACCAAAGGTAAGTTCGAATGGTGTTAAAGATGTTGCGAATGGAGTTGATATCTTCAAGTTTGTATTAGGAATCATTAAATCCAAGAACTGATCTAACATTGTGAATTGGTTCAAATATAATAAACCAATCTTTATGAGGACAAATGTGATAAGTAGAAACCAAATCACAAACCCATTATCGTCGATGTCGACACAATAGAAAACATATGCAAAATTTTCATCATCATAACTATTGTTGTTGTCACAAACACAATTATCATATCGATCTTCATCTTTCTTTAAGTTGTTTATTTCCTATTTCTTTTGCAATGTATATAGCACTCAGAAATCTTGTGACCATTTTCCATTCAATACTTGCAAGTCTTGTATATACCCCTTAATTTAAAACGCCCTTTCATGCATTGGGAACCCTTTTCATTGGATCAATCCCATACATATAAACCTCACCTTAAGAGCTTCTTGACTCGTTGGAAGAAACCACGTGCTTCATCTATGTCCTTGGAGCACAAGGCTCCATAGTTTCATTCAAAGTAAGAAGTACAGCTATGGAGGATAGTGTTTGAGATTGGAACAGAAGAGAACCTAAAATAACTAATCATAGATTCTCCTCATCATATTTGATTTACATAGTAGCCAAGTGCAATTACTTTGAACTCAAATATGTAAATTTACATAGGCGGGGTGATAAATACAAAATATATCATAATGGCCCTTTTATAAACTTACAAAAAGAATCCTAAAGACAATCAAAACTATCATATGCTATCTTGGAAACGCTGTGTTACACATAAAAAATATTTAATCATGAAATGCAAGGTAGGGTTTCAGAGCATCCATCACCAGCAAATGCAAAGAGAAATGGCACTTCATAAAACCAGTCTTGTAACGATAAAGGGAAAAAAGAGACAAACTTGACAACCGATTTCAACGGCACACTAAGGTTGCGTTTAGTTACGGAAAAACAATTTTCATTTTCCGTTTTTTGTTTTCGCTTTTCAATTTTCATTTTCCGTTTTCATTTTTCATTGAAAAATTTAGAGAACGCGTTTAGTTAAACTTATTCATTTTTCATTTTCAGTTTTAGAAAATTAGAAAACGTGTTTAAATGTCTATTTTCTATCGATTTTCATTTTTAAAAAACGGTAGTGGTAGTAGGGTGTGGGTGGGGGCGGTGACGGTAGCGGGTCGGCGGCGGTGGTGGTGATGACAGGCGATGGTGGTGGCGGCGTCAATTTTATCAGTGGTGGTGATGGTGGTGGTGCTAGTGACGGGTTAGTGGTGGTGGTGGTGATAGTAGGTCGGTGATTGTTGTGGTGGTGTTGGGTGGGTGGGGGTGCGAGTGTGTGTTTGTGTGTGTATGTGTGTTTGTGGGGTAGGTGTAGGTTTGTGTGTGTGGGTGTGTGTGTCTGTGAGGGTGGGGGTAGGTGTGGGTGTGTGGGTATGTACGTGTGTGTGTATGGGTGGGTATGTATGTGTGTGTGTTTGTGGGTTGGTGTGTGTGTGGGGGTGGGTGGGTATGTATGTGTAAATGTGTGTGTTTGTAGGTGTGTGTGTGTGGGGGGGGGTTGGTGTGTGCATGTGTATGTTGGTGGGTGTGTGTGGGTAGGTATGTATGCTTGTGTGTTTGTGGGTGTGTGTATGTGGATGGGTATGTATGTGTGTATGGGTTGGTGTGTGTATGTGTGTGCGGGTGGGTGGGTGTGTGGGTGGGTATGTATGTGTGTGTGGGGGCTGGTGTGTGTGTATATGTGTGTGTTTGTGGGTTGATGTGTGTGTGTGTGTGTGGGGGGGGGGGGGGGGTGGATATGTATGTGTGTGTGTGGGTGAGGGGTGTTAAAGGTGGAGGTAGGTAGAAGTGGATGAGGTGAAGTGGGTGTGTGTTTATAGAAAAATTTTGGAATTAGAAAAATATGGAAAACAATGATTATCAGTTTTCCAAAATTTTCCAACTTGTTTGTAATTTTAGAAAACGGAAAAATTTCATTTTCCGTGAAAAATTTAGAAAAATAGACGAACTAAACGCGTTTTCAAAATTCTCATTTTTCTTGGAAAAATTTTCCGGAAAACGGCTCATTTTTCCGCAACTAAACGCACCCTAATATGTTGCAAAAAGAATCTAATCAAATCATGAATTACGGATTATGTTGCGTTGCATCATTTCATGCCATGTGTAATGTAGAATTTCAAACATTGATACTACAAGTGTTGGAAATGTTGACCTCAAGACGTCTGTTGACTTGAATTGGACATTAAAAATATCAAATCCAAACATAGAGAAAATAATAATATCCATGTAACAATTAGCTCTTTGAAAGTAGGATTGATGTAAAACTGTAAACCTCAAACAAAAATTAATAATAAACAAACATCTCAAACAATATTTAATAATAAACACCTTTGAATACAGTTATAACATCGATGTAATTGTAAGCCTCAAACAAATTTCTTAAAGCAACCCCACACCTTGTCCCTAGCCTATTTCTCAAAATATGACAATGACTTCACCCTTGCTACCAATATAGACAATGCACTTTACTTTTATATGTACTACTAAAGTGCTTTCATTTTTCACTCATACGAGCAAGACACTTATCAGAGGATTCAGGATAAACAAAAACCAGAAAAAGTAATAGTGAAACATTTTGCTATTTCTGCAATTTGCCCCAATCTGAATACCAAAACCAGAATAAGACATGCATCCAAACACCACCTCTCTTTCTGGTTTGAATCAATCAGGATTCAGGATAAACAAATTTGATAAAAATGGCATTATCAGAGGATTTGGATATTAAAACCAGAATCCATGGCAAGGTACAAACATGTTCACCAATTATTTCCAACAAAACAAAAGGTTTACAAAGATGTTCTAACATAATCCCAGAATTAACATAGGGATAACAACCATCATTCTCCCTATAAATTTAAAAAGGAAAAAAGCACTTAGCTTTCAAGACTCTTGATGTTCTGGATTTGCTTCCCAGGGTTGAGCCCCTTAGGGCATGCACGAGCACAATTCAAAATTGTATGGCAGCGATACAACTTGAATTCATCATTTACTGCATCTAGACGCTCCTGTGTATATTCATCACGACTATCCATGATCCACCTGATTATAATTTAAAAACAATCATTGCAACAGTTACATAATGTATCAATGGAACACCATTTGCAAAAGATTGTGACAGAAGCTATATCAGCAAACATGTGGATCTGTTTTTGTTTTTTTGCAGAAAGACAGCCCAAAAATCTTGGATTCTCCTAACTAGCTTAACATGATGATGATTTTGGATATGAAATTTGAAATCAAAAGCATTCATGGAGGTCCTGGGTGATTAAACACATCAGCAGCTTTCCCAGATTACTATACTATTCAGAAGTAAGCATGTGATTTACAAGAAATCCATATTAGGATTATCCAACTGAAAGAATCAGAAATGAAAATAGGATCTAAACTAAAACAATGAAGAAGAACACAAACTATCTAACATCATTACAACTGGAGTTTAAGTTTAAAGTAATTGGTAACTAACTAACAGTATGCAAAAGATATGAATAGAGATGTGGAAGATTATACCGATTAGCGTGAAGAAGAGCAGCGGGGCCAAGGTAAGACTCAGGGTTCCACCAATAGCTAGGGCATGATGTGCTACAGCAGGCACACAATATGCATTCATACATCCCATCGAGCTTCGCCCTATCATCCTTGCTCTGATAAATCTCTTTCCCTACCCAACCAACCGGTGCCGGAGACTTTCTCTTCAACCACGGCTCAATACTCTTATATTGATTGTAGAAATTCGTCATATCCACCACCAGATCCTTAATCACAAACATATGCGGCAAAGGCGTAATCATCGTCGCATCTCCCGACGGAATCTTCGTCAAACAAGCAAGTCCGTTACATCCGTCAATGTTCATAGCACAGGAACCGCAGATTCCTTCACGGCACGACCGACGGAACGTCAAGGTAGGATCGATCTCGTTCTTGATCTTAATCAGTGCATCTAGGACCATAGGACCACACTCCTTAAGGTCGATCTGGTAGTTTTGGAGCTCTGGTTTTCCTGGATTATCAGGATTCCATCGGTAGATTTGAAAGTTCTTGAGACTATGTGAAGATTGGGCGACTGGCTTCGCTTGTTGATTTTGAGGCTCCGATGCATGTGCTCGGGAGAGAAAAAGCTTCGCGGCCGGAGACGAATGAACCCTAGAGAGAGCTCGACGGACCAGACTGGTCGCCATTGTTGGGGGAAGATAGGTACAGAACACGATCAGGCTATACCTTCTACTTGGGTGGGCTGGTTTTTTAGATGGAGGTTTTTGTAATAAAGGTGGCACTCCAAGGGTATTATCGTAATTGAACAAGTGTCAGTAATCTGACGGCTGAAAGTCGATGTCGCAATTTTTGGCAGTGAACTTTACACAAAATTTTATATTATAGATTTGGGAAATTCATTTTTTAAAGAGAATAAGTAATTTTTTTAGGATTTTGAAAAGAAAAAAATTGCCATAATAGTCTTATTTTAAGGGTTTTTTTTTTTATAAAATATAAAAAAAATGAAAAATACCTAAAATAGCCTCAATTTTAGTAGGCCACATCTAAGAAAATTACTGTGACTTGCGGTTTTTTTGTTTATTTTCATAGATATAGAAGCAAAAATTGTGGTTATTTAGAGCATTTTTTATTTCTGAGCTATTTTGTAAAAAAATTGGAAAAAAAAAAAAGATTGTTATAATTATTTTCTATTTTGAAAAATGATAAATTTCTTTCAAATGCCTATTTTAGATTTGATCTTTAAATTTATTTATTTATTATTTTTTTTTCAAAGAAATATCTATTTCCGTTTGAAGTGTGTAATATACTGAACCAAATTTCTAATTTTAAACTCTAATATCCTATACACTTCATATTTACTATTTTTGTTAAATGTTCGTTAGATTTTATTAAAAAAAACATTAAATCTTTTTTCCGAAATTTTAAAATTATTCATAAGATTTCAGACTTCTTTTGAAATTCCAGTTTTTTTTTTTTTTTTTGAACTCTGAAATTTCAATCCGAAATCCAAAATTCGGAATTTCAATTCGAAATTTATTTTCCTATCAGAAAAAATATTTTTTGTTGTTGAAATACTTCATTCCAACATTCCGTAGTTGTTTGTTATTTTACCAAAACAACCTTTTGGTTATTTTTTTTCTAAATATACATCACATTACGGTTAGTTTATTTAATTTCTTTTTAGATTTTTATAAAATCAATTTAAAAATTTTGAGTAACTTGTTTTTGTTTTTATGATATGGCACGAGAATAGTACACGCATAAGCATTATCTTTCCAATGAGATACTTTTGGGGAAATATTTACCTATCCAAACAAGGAAAAAGGAAAAAAGTTCATGTCAACACAAGAATTAACAAGGACATGGAACTAGCTTTTGGTATCCTAAAAACTCATTGGCTATAATTCAACTCCCTACGCATGCAACGCTTATGCTTGCATTATATTACACTATATATTTTAAAAGATGAAGGTCTAGCGAATAAATGTTATAAACCAGCAAAAATGTTGTTCATAATTAAATTCATAAATTTCAAATCTAATAGTCCTTTATATTAATACTTTGTCTTTACACAAACCTTTTTCGCTTGACGTGTAATATGATAGCAAAGAGGGCGAAATGGTACAAATCCATCCGAAATAATACTAAACCTTTTGATATAAAACAACATAAAACTGAATGAAAAGATAGAAAACATAATGAGATGATACAAGAAAGTATAAAATGTTATATAGCAATCCAGTGTTCTCATTCCTGCAACAACCATCTGTTGGATGAAACTGCAATAAGAATGAGAAAATTTTAGTTAGATGCGCATACTTGATACTGTAATTGCCATAATTCTACCTGTAGATACCTAACATGCCAAGATCTAAATAATGCAATCATGCTCTTTTAACCTAACATAGTGAATGCATGTAAATATAATCCATGCAACTCTTTTCACAACAATGAACCATTGTGTTTAAATAAAGCAGCTCATGTAGGTTAAATACATTATTTTCTTACACATCCTTCAAAAACAAATCAATAATACTACTTGTTAAAATAAAAAAAAAATACCAACTGAAAGTTCAGAAATCAACTTGTGCCCTTGAAACCCTGAAACCTTATATGTTAAAATAATTAAAAAGACTTTAATCCACAATAAAATACTAACTTCACGTACCATTATGTAAATCTCATTTTGAGGTATATTCCATTTTTCACAAATCACGTGACTCGCCTCTTTAAACTTTATTCCCAACAATCATCAAAAAGCCACATATTACAAATAAGTAGAAAATTATTTTCACATAATGTTCTACCAAAATATGCTGACAAAAAATATAAACCACTAATTAAAGCCCAAATCACCATTTTAAGCTCATTGTTGAAACTCTAATTTGTCAAACACACCCACCCAACAGTGGAGAATATTCCTTCATAACTAACCAACATAATTGCAATATATATATATATATATATATATATATATATATATATATATATATATATATAACATCCTATATCATCATATTATATCAATAATCACTGAAACATGAAGTTTACCTTGATAACACATCCAAAGATACTCCCAAACTCTTAGATGGATTTCCTTCAAAATCATCCGAATTATTATCTTCCAAAAATCAATCATGTGTCTACCTGTTACACAAGGGTAGATGGATTGCTTCCATTGAAGACCTCTAGCATATGAAAAACACCAGATGATCTCCTACATATGACATGTCAGCGCCTACTATATATAGTAGTGCAAAAAAAAAAAAAAAAAAAAACATATATTAGCAATAAAACTGAAAGTAAAGATGGTACAAGAGTAAGCAAGCACAAATAATTTAATAAACTTCTGAGTCTGTTCTTTCAAGGTCCTGATTAAAAGTGGGCTTCAAATTCCTTCACTCATAAATAACATAAACTTTTAGTACTATATTAACAATGTCTAAAAAGAAGATAACGTCAAATTCATGAAAATATAATGACGTGTTAGGAGATTCATTTCAAATATACTCCACCCCCTCTATCGCAAAAAACTGCAATACTTTTTTTCATTTAGGGCAACATATCCTTTTTTGGTAACTTATCTTACTTATGTGCACCTTATTATTAATCATTAATTGTAATTAACGACTTTGATTGTGTTCAACACGTTTTCTTTACTTTGTGCGTATTTAAGCCCGTTTCCGAAATGGATCGATAGTCAAATATTTTGAATTAATCATGGGCCAAGTGAACGATCTATCATATTCAGCAGGAATAAAATTGCATGAGCAGTTGGTTACTAGTATTTGGTTCATTTCACTCCCAAAGTGGAATGCAGATCTGTAAGCTGCATAATAAGTAATAACCCCCCTAATAAGAGTTGATTATGGGTATGGCACAAACTAACTATTCATGTAATTTTAGACAAAAAAAATGCATAAACAAGAGCCTCTTATGGTAAGTGGAATTTTACTTGAAACGAACATCGATGCCACCAAAAGCTTATTCGGACATTTTAAATTAAATTGGTTAATGAATATCTCGTTAAACCAATATTTAAAAGTGGAAATATCAACTTATTTACTTATGAATATCTTCTTTAGGTTATGTTTTATATCTATAACGGGTCTAAATCTAATGGGTTGAATAAAAAAAAAATTAGCTAAAAGGAAACGGGTCGAAAGTTGCCCCCAAGTGTTTTCCATAATGCATACAATCTCCTAGATTGCTTTATTAAAAATAATAGTTATTATTCTAACAATATAGTTTCTTTTATCTTATTTAACATACTAACTATTTATATAAATTGGACAAATTTCCGCCTCTACCAAGATTATAAAACTTAATTGAAAAATATACTTGCCGGGGAGATGCTATTTTGTAACATTTATTTTATAAAATTCACGATCGGAAGGAATTAAAAGAAAAGCACTTGTTATTTTATGAACCACTATGGATTATATAAATACATTTTAGTGTTTTCAATTGTAATGTAAAGGCCTGGGTCTGTTTTGTTTGATGGGGTGGAATGGCCAAATGAATGGAATAAGAAAAAGGCAATGGAATGATTCCATGATCATATTTCATCCATCCGTAGGAAGGGATTAAATCTTCACATGGAATTTCTATATGATATATATATATATATATATATATATATATATATATATATATATATATATATATATAGTTTTAAAACACATTCTATATATTTAGTTATAATTATAGGAGTTATTATTTATGATCCCATAAAGCTAAAGTTCATAAAAGCTCATTAAAACCAAAATAAGAATGTAACAAAAAAATCATTTAGTGGTAAATGGATTCCAACCTCTTAATGGTTGAGAGAAGATAGGGTTACAAAACCGTTCAGATGCCGCCATTAAGAGGTTGTATCAAACGCACTATAAATACTGACCGATTCGGAGGTCATCAAACAGCCCCTTAATTTTATAAAAATAATATTGTGTCATTAAAAACTTTATAACTAAAAATGGGTTATATTACAATTTTCCGTGATGGAATGAATGATAGAAAAGCATCCCCTTTCTGCCTAAGGAATCAGATTTGGTTTAGTGATGTTCCATTCCAAAAACAAACAACTTTTTTCATTGCAAATTGCAAATTGCAAATGGTCAATGGACACTACCTAAGAATATCATAGCATCAAAGCTAAAGGATGAAGAGCTTAAAGTTGATGTTGTCTAAACATGCTCTTAAAATATCAGTGACACTTAACACAACGCTACCAGTTGTATGTTTAATGTGTACTTGTAAAACTGTAGCACACATTCCATCAGTTAAAAATTCAAATATACTGGAAGAAACCAAAACCAAGGCGCTCATGTACCTTTGAAATCTAAGGTAAACAAGGAAACATCACCATGAAAAAGATCCAACATACCATACCATACAGAGTCAACCCCTGAATTGGTTTGGTCAAACATTACTCAGAACAAGTAAGGTGTCAAGTCAACCATATGCATCATGGTATCAAAACAAGAAAGATGAAAGAAAAGGTTCTAGTTGCTGAAAAAGACTGCATTCTTTTTCAAATATGACATATTAAGTTATAAACTTGAGAGATATTCTAAGAGATTATTAGTTTAGAGTTAAGAAACCATCCCTGTAAATGTAATTTGCCCATTCTACTTGGTCTTGCCACCAGAAGGAGACTCTGAGGTGGATCCATCTGTCAATGGGTGCTCATTCTTTTCCTGTATTCAACAACAGATAGACAATATGAATTTATTTACATAAATATCAATCAAAGCTTCTTTTTGTAATCAATACTAAGATATTGGTTATACGGACATACCAGATTCCCACTGATTGCACTTGGGAAACTGCCGAATTTTAGCACACGCACATGTGAATTAGTTGATTGTGAGAAATGAGGAACCACATGTCCTGCATCACCCTCATTGATTTCTGAAGCTTCATTCTGGCTATCCATGGATTCAACAGTAAAGAAGATAGGTGGAGGGTGGTGAAATTTACAGGATGCACCATAACCACACACACCAGTACGCATGTAGAATGAACAGTTTTCACAACCCTGCTCAACAAGATAATATGCTTTAATTAAAAACATTATTCAACCGATTCATCTATATGAAAAGCTATACAAGGATAAATTAGTAATTACCAATCTTTCTGGAAAACCAAGCACGTTAAGGCGCGGGAGAGAGTTTTCAGGCTCAGATTTGGAGTGATTGAATCTGCAAGATTCTCCATATTTGCAATGACCAATTTGGTAAAACTGCAACACAGTTGGGTAAGCATGTAAATACAGTATGGATACACAACACTGAAAGAAGATTATATCAATAAAGCAAGAAGCAGATACTAGCAATACAAGTTTGTACTTTGTAGGTCCATTAGGCACATTAAATTACTCTGCAGTTCCCAAACTAGCCCTACTGATGGGATGTGGAGCCATAAACACTGACATGGAGACTTCCTATTGGGTCATGAGACTCACACTACCCAAGACATACAGTGGACATGGACACTATCCTAAAAACACTTTTCTTCTTTTTCCTATCTGCTGCTAGGTAGATCTCATCATACTGTAACCTAATAAAATAGATTCATAAAAGTCATAAGCAATCTAAACATGCCAGCCTTTATTAGTAAAACTTGTTGCTCTATATTTTCCTGTATTTACCCTTAACTGGCCAAATCCCTTAATTTTTTGAGAGGGTATAACCAAATTCACCTCATTTAACTCATTAAGCTGAGAAAACAAACATGAATGGACGAATCTATGGAAGAGAGTATGTAATCAAATGTACCTTGCACGGAATCCGACTCAAACTTTTAGATGAACTTCCAGCACCAATTATGTTGCTTTTTCCCCGATCAACCTTCACACGAACAACACATAAACAAAGCAAACAAAAATCAACTCGCAACAACAAAAGACTTGAATATAACAAAAGCCCTTTCGAAATATAGACCGGGAAAGCATGAGCTATCAAATTCCGTGTAAGAATTTAGAACATCTCAGAATGAAGGGGAAAGGGGAGGAAGCGAGAGTGCATACATAGATTTTCGTCGAAACAGGGTGATTGAACCTGCACATCCGCCCGAACCTGCATGTCCCGGTTCGAATGAAAAACGAGCAGTTTTCGGCATCGGGTCGGATCGGATGTTGCATGTCACGATTGCCGATACTAAAATCACCATCAGAGCTCAAATCCTCCACGTCTTCTGAAGAAGTATCGATTTGTTTCCCTTTGAGCCCTACATTTTCGAAACCCTGAATAAGACTATCAACCTCCGGTTTCTGATTAAAGAGGCATCTCAAATCCGAAAAGAACTTCTCTTTGATGCCCTCGTCCATTAATCGAGACTGTGATGATGCAATAGAACTCCTAACTATCGTAGGATGGGAGCGAATTCACTGTAGAGAGTTGATGGTGAAGAAGAAAGGAGGCGGTGTTTGTGAGGCTATGAGCAAAATAATATAAGGACTGTAGAGTCAACCCTTCTCTATTTTAGTATGCGTGGAAAAGAAAACCCTTTGACCGAGTAATATATAATTAAATATTAGAGAAACAAAATTATTTTATCGAAATTGATTAATTTTGGGTCAAAATGAACAAGGCTTAACAATCTTGGTACCGTCGTTGTGTATTTGTCTTATAAAAAAAATTAAAATTAAAATAGTTTTTGAAGCAGATAAATTTGGTCTCACGGTACAGCACCGTCGTTTTGATTCGATGATATACTAGGTGTGAGACCCGTATATTATACGGGTTGATTTAGAAAATGATTAAACTTAAAGTATAAAAAAAAAAAAAAAATTAATATACAACTTTAAAATAAAAAAGAAATAAATGTATTTATTACAATTTAATATCATATATATATATATATATATATATATATATATATATATATATATATATATATATATATATATATATTTAATACTTTATATATATAAGTATATGACTTTAATTAAAACAAACAAAAAATTGAAAAGTGGATAATATTTATTTCAAGATTATCATAAAATGACAAGTGTCAAAACTCATGAAAAATTGACAAGTAGTAAAAAAAAACCTTCATAAAGTAGGATTTTAGGGTTTAGGATAAAATAAAGTTACGTATAATGGTTTAAATGGTTCATCATGACTATTTTTTGCATATTAAGGGCATATATTTGTGTTTTACTGGTTGGAAAAGTCATGTTATCTATTTTAGCAAGTTAACCTACCTTGTTACTTGCCAAGTAAGCAGGTGAGTGAACTCGTTGAGTCAATATTGAGTTGACTCGATGACACAAATGCAAATAGTAATTACGGCCTTTAATTTCCACCAATACCCCGCCAACCTTACATTGTCACTTCAATTGAGTCCTAGGCACATGTCTCGAATTAAAAGGGGATACATCCATGTGGGGTTTAAAGTAAAACAACCCTTAAATTTGTTTACCATATTCGGGCAAACAATCATCTCGAAGAACCTTTAAAAAGCAACAATATCGGCTCCACCACCTTCACCCGACTATTTAAATTATGGTAAAGACATCAACTACAATGTGATCCATTTAATCTTCTGTGATTATGGTCAGAAGATTCAGAAAACCAATCTGAAATGAAACGGTTGAAGGAGCAACTCAAACAAGACTATATCGTATGCAGGATCGACCACATCAGTCTCCAGCACAATCTGGATGACCATGATCAGAAGTTTAAAGTCATTGGTGTTGCGATGGTTGGCATGATAATGGGGATGCTCTTGTTGATGTTGGTGGTTGTGCTCCATTTCGTTCTTAATCTCGAGTGATGGGTGGGTTTGAAATAATGATGGTTAAGAAGCTTATTAGTATGTAGATTTTCTGTTTTTTATTTTTATATTTGTTTTTTTTTTGGCAATATATGTAAAAGACCTGTCTAAATGACGGGCATTTTTGTAACAACGAGATTTTCAAAACAAATTTTTCATTTTTCAACAACCAAATTTTTAAATATAAAACATTCTCAAAAAGTATTCCACAATAGTTATCAAAACAAACATATCCCAAGATCACAAATCAAATCTCCTCTCTGTGTGTACGGTTCACGCCGGCGCCTTTCCACGGTCCTCATTAGTACCTGAAACACATAACACAACAACTGTAAGCATAAATGCTTAGCGAGTTCCCCAAAATACCACATACAACATATACGTCACTCGAGGCTACTCTACGACCCTCCGGCTGATGTGTCTCAGCAGGACCCTTCGGTCCCGTAGCTCGTTGGACCCTCTGGTCCGGTCATAGCTCGTTGGGCCCTCCGGCCCGGTCTGTCTCGTTGGACCCTCCGGTCCGGTCTATACAATTATATATCATATGTACATCACATAGCACATAATCTCATACATGGCACATAATCTTATAAATAGCACATAAGACCTTCCGATCAACTCATAATACCACTCTAGGTAATATATAGTGAGAAGACTCACCTCACGTAATTCAGTAACTCAGAAATCTTGGACTTCGTGAAAATGGGATGTAGCCTCCGCTTAATCATACGAAATAAACACTCGGCATCAACACATTTCCCAAGGCTAGACCATTCCCTCTCTTAGCACTCTCAAGAGGGTAAAAGACCATTTTACCCCTCGCATGGCGCAAATAGCCTAAGTTGACCAAAACCTAAAAGTCAACAAAAGTCAACCCTCCGGGTTACGCTGCACGTACCAAACATGTACGCTGGGCGTACCCGGTGCCTTCACATAATCGGGGTGTGCCACCCCTTACGCTGCGCGTACTGGGATTACGCCCGACATAAATCCCGGTTCAGCCATATTTAGTATTGAGGTCTTAAACGATTAAGACAAGAACTCATATTCCAGATCTGACCTCTTTAAGGGTCCTTACTCCATAAAGTTGAAACCTTTAAGCCTTGCATGGATGTAAAGATCATCTACCACTCAAAACACCTTTCCTCTTTCCATATTAAGACCTTAACTCATGCATGACTCAATATCCACGACCAAGATTGGATTTTTATGAATCCTCAACACTAAATGAGCTAGTATGGGACAAATCTCAGCTTTTAAGAGCTCAACCACTAAAAAGCTATGAACTTGGGGACTAAAAACCCTAAAACTTCTCTCTACAAAGCATGAATAGAAAAGATGCAAAGCTTGAAGCTTTTTACCTCAAAAGGGATCTCCAACCACTGTAGAACTCGGATCTACTCTTGCTCTTCCACCTCTAGCTCCAAAAATGGCTTCCTCTTCTCCTTCTTCACCTCAAAAAGGTACCTTCAAGCTCAAGAATCACACACACAAGCTTATACAAGGATTTATGCACTCTAAGGGCTCACTCAAGGGGGTATGGTGGCTGGGGCAAGGGACTAGACGTTCCTTTTATAGTACACAAGCCAGAGTTTAGGGTTTGCATCCGGACGCATTACGCCCAGCGTAACCCTGGGTACGCCTAGCATACCCGGGCGAGTCCGCGTTCAAAATAAGCGCGTGAGTACGCGCGGCGTACGCCTCGTTACGCCCAGCGTACTCACAACTAACACACAACCTTAAAGGAATCGTCTTGCCAACTCTCTCAAAATAAAAGGGTTATAAAGCTTACCTGAATTTCGAGCTATTACAATTCTCCCCCACTAGAACCAAACTTCGCCCTCGAAGTCTCATGTCGAAAACAACTCTGGATGTTGCTCCCGCATCTCTGACTCCGGCTCCCAAGTCAGCTCGGACCCTTTCCGATGTTGCCACTGGACCTGCACCAGGGGCACTTCCTTGCTTCTCAGAACCTTGATCTTCTAATCCAAGATTGCAATCAGCTTCTCAGTATAATTCAGACTCGCGTCCACCTAGATATCCTCTAATGGTACCACTGCCGACTCGTCGACTATACACTTCCTCAGTTGCGACACGTGGAAGGTATCATGAATCTGGTCCAACTCCGCAGGTAACTCCAAATGATATGATACTGTGTCCACCCTCGCGATCACCCTAAACGGCCCAATATATCGGGGCCCCAGCTTGCCGCTCTTCCTGAAACAGATCACTCCTTTCCAAGGAGACACCTTCAGGAGCACAAAATCCCTAACCTGAAACTCGAGTTCAGATCGTCGCCTATTCGCATAACTCTTTTGGCGACTCTGAGCGGTCAATAACCTATGTCTGACCTGTTGTATCTGCTCTGTCGTCTGAAGCACTATCTATGTACTACCCATCACACGTTGCCCTACCTCACCCCAGCAAATGGGGGTCCGACACCTCCTTCCATACAAGAGCTCAAAGGGTGGCATACCAATACTCGAATGATGGTTGTTGTTATAGGAAAACTCAGCCAAGGGCAAATACGTATCCCAACTCTCGCCGAAATCCAGTACACATGCCCGAAGCATGTCCTCGAGCGTCTGAATCGTCCGCTCGCTCTGTCCGTAAGTTTGTGGGTGGTATGCGGTACTAAAATGCAGCCTCGTACCCAATTCCCCATGAAATTTCTTCTAGAATTTGGAAGTGAAACGCACATCTCGATCTGAGACGATCGAGATCGGCACTCCATGCTGCGATACCACCTCCGTAACGTACAACTCTGCCAATCTCTCCGCGGAAGAGCTCTCACTGATGGCAAGAAAGTGAGCACTCTTTTGTCAACCTGTCCACAATCACTCAAATTGCATCAACACCCCTAGCAGTCCTCGATAATTTGGTGATAAAATCCATGGTAATCTGTTCCCACTTCCACTCGGGAATCTCTAACGGCTGCAACTTACCATGCGGACATTGGTGCTCAGCCTTAACCTTGCGATAGGTCAAGCACCTATCTACGAATCATGAAACATCCCTCTTTCATACAGGGCCACCAATACTCCTTCTTCAGGTCCAAATACATCTTAGTGGCCCTAGGGTGGATCGAGAACTTCGATCTATACGCCTCCTCCATCAAGATGGTGCGCGTTTTGCCCACAAACAGTACCCAAACTCGACCCTGAAAGGTTGTAAGTCCTCGATTATCAGTAACGAACTCCGATACCTGCCCGATCACTCACTCCCTTTTGCGGTTCTCTGGTTTCACGGCCTCCGCCTGGGCCCCTCGAATGGTGTCCCACACCGGAGTCATCACTTTCAATCTCATGCAAACATCTCGTATCGGGGCGCCCTCCGCCCTACGACTCAGGGCATCGGCTACAACATTAGCCTTGCCCGGGTGGTACAGGATCTCGTAGTTGTAATCCATTACCACATCCAACCATCTCCTCTGGCGCATATTCAGGTTAGGCTGATCCATCAGGTACTTCAAGCTTTTTGGTCCGTGTATATGGTACACCGAACCCCATATAAGTAGTGACGCTAGATCTTGAGGGCGAACACCACTGCCCCCAACTCCAGATCGTGGGTGGGATACCTTGAATCATGAGGTTTCAGTTGTCTCGATGCATATGCTATCACATGCCCCCTCTGCATAAGCACCACTCCCAACCCTGATATCGATGCATCACAGTACACCATAAAATCCTCCATCCCTTTAGGGAGTGCGAGCACCAGAGCTTC